TGAAAGTGGTTCTAAGAATCAGTTCATAGCACTATGTGCCTACATTAAAATATATGTGTATATGTCTTTGAGAGATCACAAATTAGTCACTTGGCAGGTCACCTGAACACACTATAACAAAAGAAAGAAATAACACTAAAAGGAGTGGAGAGCAAGAAATAAACTCAGGGCTGAAATCAATAAAATAGAAACAAAAAATAATGCAAAGGATCAATGACACTAAGAGTTGGTTTTCTGAGAAAAGCCAGTAAGAGTGACAAACTCTTAGCCAAATTAACTGTTTTAGTGTTTCTATTGCTGTCATGAAACATCACTCCTAAATGCAAAGGTGGAGAGGAAAGCGTTTATTTGGCTTACACTTCCATGTCATAGTCCATTATTGAAGGAAGTCAGGACAGAAACTCAAACAGGGCAGAAACTCAAGCAGGGCAGGAACCTGGAGACAGGAGATGAGGCAGAATCCGTGGAGGGTGCCTCTTACTGACTTGCTCTGTATGGCTTGCTCAACCTGCTTTGTTATAGAACCTGGATCCACCAGCCCATGGACTGCACCACCCACAATGGGCTGGGTCCTTCATGTCAATCACTAGTTGAGAAAATGCTCTACAGCTAGATCGTATGAAGATATTTTTTCAGTTGAGGTTCCTTCCTCTCTGATGACTCTAGCTTGTGTCAAGTTGACATAAAACCAGCCAAGACCTTACCTAAAAGGCAAAGAGAGAAAATCCAAATTAGAAAAATTAGAGATGAAAGGGGGGGATGTAACAACAGATACCAAGAAAATCCATAGAGACTCACAAGGACATACTTTAAACCCTGTACTCTTCCAAATTGGAAAACCTAAAAGAAACAAATAATTTATCAATACATGCCACCTACCAAAGTTAAATCAAGATGATATAAGTAATTTAAACAAATCCCTAGTGAAATAGAAGCAGTAATTAAACGTCTACTAAACAAATAGAGCCCAGGACCAGAGGTTTTAGTGCAGAATTCTACCAGACTTTCAAAGAAGAATGCATTCCAATACTCCTCAAACTATTCCACAAAACAGAAACAAAGGGACATTGCCAAATTCTTTTTATGAGGCCAGAGTTACCCTGATACCCAAACCACACAAAGGTCCAACAAAGAAAGAGAATTACAGACCAATCTCCCATATGAACATAGATGCAAATGGGTTGGTTTTAGTTACTTAGGGTTGGGTATGGAAGGTAATGCTTAGACTTGGGTTTGTCTTTTGGATAGAAATAGGATATGGTTGGGGAAGGTATGGTTAGATGGATATAGGTAGATTACCCTATCTCCTTGTGAATTAGTATTATACAGCTTACATTGTTATATTTCTTATTTGTGGTAAGCTATGTAAAATTAAGTTTATATTCCCTTCCCGGAAGAATGGTATATTATATTTTGTCATATTGTGTGAAATTTCCACTTATGATGTTTTATGCACATTATTCTTTCCATATTCTATATATGTATACTTTTGCTTGTATTCAAGACATTTTGTATATTGATACAATTTGGGATATTTATCATGCTGCCCTTTATAGTTCTACCTCTTGTCTAGACATTTCTACTCTACCTCTATTTTAGGGATTGATATGTATGTATATGTACATAGTTATATTGTCTAGGTATTTGTCCCTGCTTTACTCAGGGAAGTTTCAATCAGTTTTTTAGCTAAGTTCCTGAGTATTACAGATTTTTTTCACTCATGTTTCCTTTACCTATGAGATTATTCGGACATAGATGCTTAATCTTCAATCACTTCATAGACATGCAGAACATGACATTTAAATATTTTAATATTAGTATTCTGTTCACATGAGACACTGTTGCTCCTAACAGCACCGTGCACTCTCCCGAAAATATGTTGGACACTGTTGTTACTCCTGCTGGAGTCCATTCTCGCCTCAGCTAATGGCCTCTTGGGCAAAGAATTGCCCCCACCTTGACCACTGATTTGGACATGCAGTCCTATATGCTTGCAGGAGACAAATATAGAAGACTGCTGGGCCTTGCCAAGTCAGGGTAAGACAGCCATTCTACCTCCCTGCTGTTGTTGTGGTCTGTCAAGTACTCTAGGCCTTAGCCAAAACTGGGTGTACCAACGTTGCTGTGAGACCTTGGCTGACCATCCAGGTAGCTTGCTGTTTCTGTCCTCGCTGCACCTTTTGGAAGTTGCCCATCTGCACTTTCTGTCTACCCTAGTATCATTATTTTCCTTCTCATGTCTTGATGAGGTTGAAGATTAAAGTATCACAACTATTATTCTCTCTTCCCAGTTAGATATATTAGGTACTAGACTTACATTTTCCAGCTTAGGACAACTCTATTGTAAACTCCCTTATGCCTTCACTCTAGGACTAGATATGTAGGTCATTTTGTTCTCAATTTTCCTTTTCTTAGAGCACACTTGTTATTCACTGTTTTGTATATAGTTTTGTATCAAGCCTAAATCTTTTCTTTAGACTAAAAGGGGAATTGTAGTAGGATATTCACTTTGTCTCCTTCTGTGGCACTGACCACGCCCATTGGGGGTGGAGCCAGGGACAGAAGTGACCTGTGGAAGGAGGTCTGAAGAGGAGCCCTCTTGCTGGTGGGACGTAGCAAGGAGAGCATCCCGTGGAAAATGCTGGTGTTCATCTGTCTAGGTTGTAAGTTATTTCTCCCTGAGTAAACATCTATTCGGCCTATTTGTTTATCCTGATCCATATTAAACCGCAATAGTAAAGTATTGGGGAATTGAATACAAGAATACATCAAAAAGATCATTCACATTATATTGGAAGGTGCTCTGCATGCTATCAAAGGAGAAAAGCAAACAACAACTCAGCTCCAATCTACAGTGGTGACTGACATGGAAGATGTGTTAACACAATAGTCGCACACTTGTGCGAGTAACCAACCAACATCTGGATGGATTTAAGGTCACTTCAGTAGATGGAACCCATCTAACACACTCAGGTGTCAAAAAAACCAAATCAAATAAAAGATTACTACTAAAAGAATGTAGCAATTAAGTGACTCCCAATGGCATTTTGCTATACTCATAGATCAGTGTCTAACTTAGCCATCATCAGAGAAGTTTCCTTCTGCAGAAGATGGGAACAAATATGACTCACAATTGGACAATGTGCAGAGAGTAAGAGAGCTTGTAACACTTCCTAAGCAAGATGTCTCCATGATGTCTCTTCCCTCGGCCTCAGGGAACACCGTGGAAGATTGTAAAAGCCCGTGGGAATGGAGGACACAGCACCACAGACATGCATATGAACTCACAGACTGGCAGCACACAAAGTTTTCCACCAGACTGGGTACTAGATGCCTGTTCTGTTTTGTTTTCTAATAAGAAAGAGAAAGAAGGGGTGTGGATTTGGATGGAAGGGGAGGAGGATCTGGGAGAAGTACGGGAACCTTAATCAGAATATATTATATGAAAAATCTATTTTCAATAAAATAGGGGGAAAGACTTTTTTAATCTATTTATTTATTTAGAGATAGGGTCTCGCTATGTAGACTGGAACTGGAACTCACTTGTAGGCTGGCCTGGAACTCCCAGAGATATGCCTCTCTCTCAACCTCCCACATACTGGGTTTAAAGGTATGTGCCACCATGCTGGGCAAAACAAACTGTCAAAGAAGAAACAGCCTACAGCATGGGAGGAATCCTTTACCTTTTACTGAAAATAGAGCAAGGCATGGAATTCAAAAAGTGAGGAGGTGGAGATAATCTGAGAGTAGATGGAGCAGATGAAAATGTGATCAGAATATGTTGTATGAAAAAAAATATTTTCAATTTTTAAAAGTACCATGGTTATTCTACAAAAAAAGAAAGAAAGGAAGAAAGAAAGAAAGAAAGAAAGAAAGAAAGAAAGAAAGAAAAGAAATCAGAGTTAGACAGTTTGGACTAAAATCCACTTTTTTGGATTTCATGATTGGTGGTATCAGGCAGTCCTAGCAGTCTATGAGTTCAAGGTCAACCTGGTCTACAGAGCTAGTTCCAGAACAGCTGGGGCTGTTTCGAAGAGAAACCCTGTCCCAAAAACAAACAAACAAACAATTAGTCTCTTTCCCCATTGATAAAGTTTCTCACCAATAACATATGTATTTAAATTTTCATGATCTTCCCCTCAATACAAAGATAACTACCAAAGGCGACTCTCACTCAATAGTGACTGTCCCTGAAGACCTGACCAGATCTCTGACCTCTTTCAAAAGTACTTTAAAGACAGCTTTCAAGTTTAACCTTGCCATTATAAAATAATTCCTGTTTATGACTGTCCCAGTGTTTGAGTATATGGTTAGATATTTGTATGAATTGCTATGAGATGCATCTTATCTTGTTCTAAATAAGACTTTAAATTGTTAATAAAGTTAGTATAAGAAAATAATGTACCTAGTTGTAAAAAGGAAAAGAAAGAACACCCCAAAGGTCCCTTCCATGTTCATCTCTCCAATAATACACTACCCAGATACTTTCGAATCTTGATATTTAAAATGTAGTAAATATTACTTCTAATGAAAAATTTTTTTACCTGCAGCTAAGGAGAGCAGATTTGGCCGGGCCAGGGACGGGCCAGGTAAATTTGGGCAATGGCAGATCTGGCAGAAGGTTAGGGCCAGGGTCAAGACAGCTGAAAGGTTGGGATTAGCGGCTGAACCATTGGAAGATTGGAGAGGGGATGGGGCCAAGGGGGGAGCGAGCTGGCTTGGAGGGCGGGGCTAGGGGCGGGCCGGGTAGAAGGCTGGAGACAGGGGCGGGTCCGGAAGGAGCGAGGCTCTGAGGAGCTGGGCACCTAGCTGGGCGGTGCTAGAGGCGGACCGGCAGGTGAAGGAGGAACTAGGGCAGGCACAGCCGGGTAAAGGGCGGGGCAATGGGTGGGTTCCGCTGGTTAAGGCCGAAAGAAGGGCGAGCCCACTGGGTGAGGGGCGGAGCGCTAGTGCCCGATGGGGGCGGGGCTGGGGCGGAGCCACACGGCGCGCTGACGTCAGAGCAGGCTGCGACGCCGGCGGTGGGCCAGATCCGAGGCGGTGGTGTGTAGCGGGGCCGGGTCTGGGCAGCCGCGGGCCGGTGCACCTGGCCCAGCATCGGCGGCTCCGGGGCGGGGGCGCCAGCGGCGAGGCCCCCTCCCCGGGGAGGCGGGACCGAGCCGGCGCCGGAGAATCATGCATCAGAAGCTGCTGAGGAGCGCGCACTACATCGAGCTGGGCAGCTACCAGTACTGGCCGGTCCTGGTGCCCCGCGGCATCCGCCTGTACACCTATGAACAGATCCCCGTGTCCCTTAAAGATAACCCCTACATCACAGACGGCTACCGGGCCTACCTGCCTTCCAGGCTGTGTATCAAAAGGTACAGTGGCTGCTCTGTGCGTGCGGCGCGTCCTCTCCTCCCCTCAAGCTTTTTGTCTGGTCTCCCCGCCTTTCTCCGCTTTCCTCTGTGCGCATCATTTCCTCACCTCTGGGCCCTTTCATCTGCTGCCCTAGCTCTCCTCTGGGGGTCCTTGATCTACGAGATAATGATACTAACAGTGGTCATCGCTGCCTTCTCCCGTAGCCCTTTGCTGTTTACAAAACGCTTTTACATCTTGTATCCCAATTGGGGATGCGGGTTGGTGTCTACCCCACTGACAGTGGCCGAACCTTACTTGGCTTTTGAGTATGCCTGAGCTTTGTGACTAGACCAGCACTGTGGGAATTCAGTCGTATTGGCCAGATAAATGTCCGTATAATAGCAGGCAAGTCCAGGTTGCTGTGCGTATGAATGAGGAAAGCCTTGACTCCTCCAGTCATCTAGCAGATGCGTGTGGAGCCTCTACTAGGTGGCAGGCACTATACCAGATCCTGCAGGAGGCAGGCATGACCCTGGTTCCCATGAAGCTACTATAGCCGAGCATGAGTGGCAGACACTAACGAGATAATTACACTATTACATAGTAGTCATTGTGGAAAATGCTGTGTAGGAAAAGCCCTGTGGCAAAGAAAGCTGAAAGGGTGCAGCCAGTCTCCAAGAGAACACTTTGGAAATATCTGGATTTGTCGTTTTAGGTCATTAAAACTAGAGTCCCAAAAGCCTCTTTAAAACCAAAAAAATAAACAAAAACTCAAATAAAAAATGTGCTTTTAGTTTTTAGAGTAGCCTTCTGTCAGAATTCGCTATATATACTAAAGTCATCACGCTAGCAGAAGTCCAGTACAGCACTCCAGGCCCCTGGACTGGGGCAAACCCTACTTCCAAAATGTGGGTTGTTGGATATTGATCTTCCCCATACAGCCTTTCCACATTCTGTTTCCTTTTGTGCTACCTGAAGGTATCACTGTTACTTCAATGGATGACCACTTAGATGTCACAATTTGACTCTTAATTTCCCAGTGCCTCTTGTACATAATTGCATAAGAAATCAGAGATAGGCCCTGCTCTGGAGGTGGAGAAGGGCAGGCCTGCAGTGAACTGCTGTAAATATTTTGTGCCTGCCTAGCAGTGGTCCACTGTATTCTGATGTCTTTTGAGTCTAAATCTCAAGGCCATAAAATGTTAGATCTTGAATTGTTGAGTCAGACACAAGTTAACAAGCCCAACTCTTAGCAGCTTGTGAAATTTGAGCAAGTATTAACCTGTTGATTTTGAAGATAAACAGAATTTATGGGTGCCTAGCTTTTCTGGCAATAATAGTTTAGCCTTTAATGGGGATATTCTTTCTACAATATCGATCTTATTATCCAGGTTGGGTCTTTCAACTTTCAAGAGTCCCCAGGGCAGATTGTACCTATGAAGAGAGGTTTGATGTGTGCATCTGTTCTATCTGCAATCTGTTCCTGGGAAGGGATGCGGTTAGAATGTGTTTAGTTAATCAGGTTATACTGGGTTTCATAAAATGAAAACTTCTGAGGCAATAGGCAGAACGTAGTGTTGATTGCCAAAACAGTCCTATAATTAGATGCTTCTAGAACATTCTTTTAGTTCCTCCCCCAATTACAGATAGTCTTTGTGTCTGATGATAAGCAAGATAAAGTCTGTGTTTCCAGACACAAGGTATACTTTATTCCTGATCACTTGAGACTTCACTGTGTTTTGCCTTCATAAAAATAAGGGTGTGAGAATCATGAGGACTGATGCAAATGCCTAGTGGTATGTTTGTGCTATTAAGGACTTCTGATTCAGAGCCTGAGGAGGTGGCTCAGTACTCAAGAGCTTTGGCCACCCTCCAAAAGTACTTGCCTTTGATTTCTAGCACCCACATGGCAGCATACAATCATCTGTAACTCAACTTCCAGGGGATTTGATGCCTTCTAGGCTCTGCAGGTACCGGGCTCATGTGTGGTACACAGACATATATCCAGGTGAAACACCCATAGACATGAAATAAGAATAATTCAACCTTATCCCCCCCCCAAAAAAAAAACCTGATTCATTCGCAGTCAAGGCCTTTGTCTAACAAAAGAAACGATTTTTCTGAGACGTGCAAGAGTATTTAAATCTCCAATCATGTTATCACCTTATAAAAAAGAAAAGCCATTTCCCAAAATGGATATGGAGCTGAAGAAAGCAGCAACATCTAACAAAACGCCTTTCTTTATAGATGAAACCAAGGCCTGGTCAGGGTAATAGATTTTCTACCAGCGTGTGCTTCCAAGACATCTTAAGAGGACAAATAGTACCTTCACATAAAGTCACCTCCTACTGTTCCTAAAAGGAATGAACTCATGCCACCTGGAAACAGATTTCAGAACTTGCATAGCAAAATGCTCTGGCATGCCTGCCTGTCTTCAGGACCTTTTCAGTGGGTTAATCTGTGTGTATTTTGCTTCTCCTGGATGCACTGAACTCTCTCTGTGTGTGTGTGTGTGTGTGTGTGTGTGTGTGTGTGTGTGTGTGTTTAACAAGTGCTTAAAGATATTATACTGCTGAGCCATATCTCTGATAACTAACTGCCCCTGACAGTTTTCTAGCTAATGTCCAGTGTTTGTCTGCACACTTCATTTCTGTAGAAAGTGAGGAATCTGAGCAAGGGCTCAGCTTAGAAAAGTGATGCAGTAGGAGGAAAGAAATAGTAAGAACACTAAGAGTTGAACACCAAAAGCTGTAGGACCCTGAATTAGTGCAAATTAAGTGATACTTGTAATCTTAGAAAGGCATGGGTGGGGCTGAGGCTAAGTAGCCCCTGGATCCCTAACCTTAGAATGCTGGCACTGAGAGCCATGTGAATCTGAACGGATGTTTGTTTACTTTATAGTTTGTTTATTCTATCCAATGAGACGGTAAACATCTGGAGTCATCTGCTGGGTTTCTTTCTCTTCTTCACCCTGGGAATATATGACATGACATCCGTGCTGCCTTCAGCAAGTGCGTCCAGAGAAGATTTTGTAATTTGCTCCATTTGTCTTTTCTGTTTCCAGGTGAGTCATGTCACAAACACTGTCCAAGGTGAAGAGAACTTTTGTCAGGCATGCTTGGGCGGGTGACTTTACTTCAGACCCACCACTTTGAAGAATCCTGGAGGGTACATGGGACAACTTATTTGTTTTTTGAGCACAAGCACAAAAGCTGTTGCTCTCATAGATCTAGAAGTTATTATTACACCATGTTTGAAATCCACTACATTTCAAAGATGGTGGGAACTGTTTGTGTTTTTATTTTTTCTCTCTCCTGTACCCACACCCTCTTGAGCCAGAGCCTTATTGTGTAGCCCAAGCCTCCCTCCTCATGAAATGCCAGGATTGTAGACACGTATGCCTTGCTTTTTTATCTTTGTAGACATCTTGTTTGTAAGATCAACACTAGGATATGAGTTTGCCTGTACTAGGATCTATAGAAATACCTTTAAATTTAACATTTAATTTTCAAACAGATAATTTATTTATTTTATATTGAAAATAGACTTTTGTAGTTGGGTAGTGGTGATGTATATTTTTAATGCCAGCACTCCGGATTCAGAGTTTGAGGCCAGTCTGGTCTACAGAGCGAGCTCCAGGACAGCCAGGGTTACACAGAGAAACCCTGCTTCAAAAGGCAACAACAACAAAATTGATTTTTGTTTATACAATATATTCTGATCACCATGTCCCCTCCTTCATCACCCAGATCTTTCCCAATGCCCAACGTATTCAACTTCATGCCTCCTTTTTCTCTCTTTAAAAACAGTCAAATAAGCAAAGGAACGAGAAAATAACAAAACAATCAAGGAGAGGAAAAAAGCAAAATAAGCTCATACACATGCTCACACAAGTGGAGAACCCATAAAAACCATAATATATAAGCGAAAGACCAGTAAGGTTTTAAAAAAAGTAATGCCCAAACAAAGTATTATAAGACAAAAAAAAAAAAAAATCTCCAAAAACAACCATTGAGTTCATTTTGTGTTGGCATCTGCTACCGGGCATGGGGGCTGCCTTTAAGTGTTTTTTGTATATCTAGACAGACTCCTCTGGAGAAAACTAATTTTTCCTTTGTGAGTGTTGTGAACTGGAGGTAGCTTCTGGGTTAGGAATGGGAGAACATATCTACATCTTCTCAGTGCTAGGACTTCATGTGGCTTAGGCCTGTGCAGGCTGCCAGAGTGCCAGAGTCTCTGTAAGTTTATATGTGCATCAGTCCTGTTGTGTCTGAAAGACAGACAGTGCTTCCCTGGTGTCCTCCATCCCCTCTGGCTCTTATTTCTCAGGGCTCCCTGAAACCTGAGGAAAGGGATTTGATGGAGACATCCCATTTAGAACTGGGTGTTCCAAGGTCTCTCACTCTCTGTGTATTGTCTAGTTGTGAGTCTCTGTACTTGTTCCAATGTATTTCAGGAGGAAGCTTCTCTGATGATGGCTGAGCAAATCACTAATGTATGAGTACAGCAGAATGTTGTTGTTAGGAGTAATTGTATGGCTGCGTTCTTTAAACAGAAGAGTAGTATATGACTTTTCCCCCTATGTCTATGACCACTCGGGCAGTGTCAGGTATGGGTTCCATATGATGGAGTCTGCCTCAGATGGCGGTATCTGAAGTCCAATCAGATACCTGTCAATTACTCCCAACACTTTTAAGCTCTGCTGATTGCACTAGCATATCATATAGACAGAGCACTGCTAGAAAATGAAGTATTCAAACAGACCATTTTAAAGCATGAAATAAATGTAAGCCATACGTACACTGACATTTTGATAATAACAAAAATACAGAACACAGAACAACATGAAAATGGAAAGAAAAGAGTCACACCACATTTCCTCCCGGCAGTTACTGTCAGCACCCTGCACAGGAACCTGTTCTGCCCAGCTGGAAAAGAGATCCTAGGAACTAACCACATAGATGCTCTCACTACATCTCGTGTTTCAGAACCTTGTCATTTTGCTCAAAACTTTGGTCCTAAAGGGAAACATATGAGAAACATCTCTAATTTTCTTTTTAGTAATTTCAATTTTAGTGTAACAAATACTTATTTAATGTCCCTATATACTTTTAGGCCCTGTAATACTGGGAGTAATACTCCAGCAGCAATATGTAAGGCTGAATAGAATAAGCATTCAGCGAGATCAAGTCATGTATGCGAGAGGGCAGAAAAGTCAATCTGGGCATTTAAACAGAAAAACTGCTATGTAGAGGCCCAAAAGCAACAGACACCTAGTGCTTTCCTGACTTGGAAGTGTTTGTCTTTCCATTTGAACCCTGGGATAGTAGAGGAGGAAGGAAAGGCAGGCAATAGATAGACACCAAACCATGGCATACTTTCTTATCCTGACAATGTGCTGATACATGTTTGATGTTCACTGTAATCATCTTCCCACTTGGATAGTGCAACGTGCCATGGGGTGCTTTCCACTTGACCTGAAACATAGCAAATATGCCAAAAAAGTTTAATCTTGCAAGGAACCCTTAAGAGCATACACCTCTTCAAACAGAACATACAAAATAGAGGTTTCCCTTTTAAAACTTGGAGTGCTTTATCGACATAATTTTCTTTCCCTTTTGATACCATAGTTTTTCTCCCTCAGACTCTCCTTTCCACGATGAGATAAAGTTTATTACTGATTTTCATAATCACACTATCAGCTACTGTATACTCACATGGAAATTCAAGCAGATACAAGTTTATGAAGGAAAGCAAGTCACTTGGAACCCACTTCCACAGGCAGCCACATTTGACATTGCTGTTGGGATAGACAGACAGCGTGCACACATGGCTGCCTCATATCTTCCTTTCTGCCTGTCCACTGAGTACTTTTAAGCAAGGTCACTTCTGCTGGCTGTTTGCATCATTCTCTGTGACAGTGAGATCCTTCTCTCACTCAGTGAGTTCCACCGAGATGCTCTCCAGGTGTATGGCATGTAAGCACAGGGGCAGCAAGAGAATGCAGCCAAGCTGGTCCATGTAATTGTGACGGCGGGTGAACTAAATGTGTGCTTTTAAGCGTGTCATTATTGATCATGGACACAAAGTCTATGCAAGCTGGTTAGGCTTGCTTAACCAACAAATAACTGGATGTGCGTTTTACTGTCTTGGCAGCCAGCTGCTCAGCACACATCTGTCAGTTGGCCATACTTCATAACAGTTCTGTCTTCTCCACCCCCACTGTCATTGACTTCATAAACTCGTTGTTGTTCCCCATGGCCATGTTGGTAACCTCTCAGCTGGTCTCGTCTAACCCTCTGTAAAGGTGTTCTCCATGCCTAAGTTAAAACACCTTGTTGTGTGGTCACTTTAATTATGGCATGAAGAAAGCTACATTCCATTCTTTAGTGGTTTCCTAATTTTCATTATATGACTTGTCTTTATGGACCCCTTTCCCTGAAAAACGTACGGACTTTTTTTAATGACCCCTGATGAACGCCAGCTGAATGTTGAGCTGCAACTCAAGAGTCAGCTCGTTCATGACGAGTTTTCCGCTCTGTTAGGTACACCTGCAGACACACTCCGTGTACCCACACAGCCAACTCCTGCTTTCCTGGTTTTTTTGTTTTTGTTTTGTTTTTTGGTTTTTTTTTTTGTTTTGTTTTGTTTTTGTTTGTTTTGTTTTTGTCTATACTGACTTCTCCTATAGAACATGTTATAAACAGTGTTTCTCCAAAACTTACCTTGAGAGTAGAAGAACACACAAAAGATACTTGATAGTCAGAGAGGCTCTGCCCTGCCTTATTCGTCCTCAGAGCCCCTGTCTACATCATCATCTTTGCTGTCAATCTGGAAAACATACACATTGTATTTTTTCACGGATATAATAAAGCCATATTTACTTCATAGTGGCACATACCTTTAAACCCAGCACCAGGGATACAGAGGCGGGGGACCTCTGAGTTCCAGGCCATCCTGGTTAACTTAGTGAGTTTCAGAACAATCAGGGCTGCATAGTGAGACTCTGTCTCGCAACAACAAGAAGAAAGCACATTATAGACTAGAATTATAGTAAGTTCATTTGATCAAAGTCTTTATCATGTGTACACATATGCACCACAGGTCCTTAGGACACATGTGTTACAGGGTCATTTAACATGTTATCAGTGGCCACTTCTAAGAAATATATTGAATGAGAGGGGCTTATATTTTTTGCAGCATACAATTCTATATCCTTTGATCTTTTTTAAGGAATGTATATTAATTCACGAATCAGAGTAACCTTAGGAGGCATTATGAAAGTATTTGTATTAAAACCCATTTTCAGTGTATAATTTTTTCCAATCTTTTGCTGTTTATTTACAGTTTATATTTTAAAATAATTATAATTTTTATATTTGTAGTGATTGTGGTCCCATTTTCCTGATGAACTCATGAAGCTTAGTAGCAGTTTGCCCTATGATGAGGTACAATTCAATGAGCTAAAATTCAAACTAAAGTGTCCCTAACTTGAAAGCCTGGCATCTCAGCCAGATCTCAGAAGAACATTTAGGATTTCTTTTTGTCTCACTTTGTTCTTAAGGTCTGCTTTTCTTTTTGTAGGTCTGTATGCTTTGCTCAGTGGGCTATCATCTTTTTTCCTGTCATCGGTCAGAAAAAACTTGTCGAAGATGGATGGCATTGGATTATGCAGGGATTTCTATTGGGATCCTGGGCTGCTATGTCTCTGGAGTATTTTATGCATTTTATTGTAATAATGTAAGTGTTTAGAACTTTCACACTCTACCTTTTATGTAGGATTTGGGTTTTCTTGCAGTGGTATAAATATACAAATGCACACTTGCCTTACAAATAGAAGAGTCTTGTTTGGGCACAAACTTCAATTTCAAAAGGCTCCTGTGATCTTTAATATCTACTACCAGTTCCATAGTGATTTTGTTAATTTTCTGGTGGAAAGGATGACAATAAGTATGGAGACATAGCACACAGAGAGTGTAGTGGTATGTGTATATACTCATGTAACTCAGCACAGAGAGGCGCAAGATCTCTATTTCCAGGCCAGGCCAAGCTACAGTGCACAACCCTGTCTCAAAACAGTGAAAGAGAGTTCCATCAACTTCACTCTCCTGTTACACTCCTGAACTTTTATTTTACTTTTCTCATCTGACCTCTTCTTCAGGAGCAGCATACCTGCTCAGAGTGTAGTTCTTTTCCCAGTGAACAAGCCTCCCCTCGCTGTATAGTGGGTCCACTCAGATGCAGGCCTCACCCTGGATTCTGGGAACACTGCAGCTCAGGAGTCTCTGTTAAGGTTGCTAAGCAGGGTCCTGGTCTCTACACAGTGAGAGAGAATTATTAGGGCATTTGGCTTATAAAACTGGTTTAAAGTCTTCCAGAGGACCAAACGTTCATCCCCAAAGCCACAAGTCAGCTCACTACAACCTGCCTCTATTTCTAGGGGCTCCTACATCCTCTTCTGACCTTTGTGGCATCAGGCATGCACATGGTGCACAGACATACATGCTGGCAAAACAAAAGACACATAAAATTTAAAAATAGATATATTTAAACTACCAAAGAAAAAGTCATAAATTAGGCTTGAGTATGTTAGGACCATTGTAAAATGCCAGTTTCTCAGGCCTACTTATATTATGACATAGTGTATAACTAATTATGTATGTAATTAAAGTGTAAATTGATTGGATTTTTACTAGAAAACTGTTCACGTTTACTCAGAAGTGCACAGCACTGTTCTGTGTACAATTCTGCATTCTTAAAGGAAAATATGGAAACGGGCTGTCAGGAAGGTTGTCATGTAACTGAGGAGGTTGTCATGCTGTCAGTCATACTTAAACTGCTGTTAGCCTGTGTACACACACACACACACACACACACACACACACACACACACACTCCATCCCAGCCCTGCCCTCTGTTTGAATGAACAGTGCTGATGTCTGTCTGACCTGCTTCCTCACGCCTCTTCTGAACTTTTGTCTCAATTGCCACCCTCTGGAGAGGGTTACAAGCCCCTGCCTCCACATGCCACGTTTATCCTGCTCTTTAGTAGCTCCCAGTGTGTTGGCCTGGTGGAGTTCAGGGTTAGTCTCCCTTTGAGCAGCCTCTTTCCAAACCTCCATGTCCAGTTCTGCCTCTTCTCCCGACACACTGTATGTGTGTTCCTCAAGCCCAACTTACATGTTGTCTCTTCCGCCAAGCATCTTTAGCAATCCTGGGTAACACTGACTGTTCTTGCTTCAATCGTTCACAACATTCTATTTGTGACTTAGTCACAGAGTTATCATTACACTATCATCATGTTCACAAGGCTGCCCCTCCCACAGTCTGAGCTCAGTCACTGGGAGAGGCCTTGCCAAAGCAGCCTTGAGCCTACAACATTTTCCTCATGCCTAGCATATAACAGGTACTCAGAAAATGCTTTTGTAAGAAGAAGTGAGTGTGGTCTTCTACTAGTTCACTTTTAGTTTTGGGTTGTCATCCTTTTCAGAACCTTAACATTGGTGTGGAACACTCCAGAAGGGGATGGAGAATCTTGTATGGACATTAAAGCCAAGTGAATAGAGCCTGTGATGTTTAGTGTAGAAGTCCAGATGACCGTCTTCCTTTCATTCTAGTATTGGCGTCAAGTATACTTGATCACCGTGCTCGCAATGATCCTGGCAGTGTTCTTCGCACAGATTCATCCCAATTACCTCACACAACAATGGCAGAGGCTCCGCCCTATCATCTTTTGTTCTGTTTCGGGGTATGGAGTGATCCCTACTCTCCACTGGGTTTGGCTCAACGGAGGAATCAGTGCTCCTATTGTACAGGTAGGCTGAGTATGGTCAGCCTTTTTTTTTTTTTTTTTTTTTTTTTTTGGTCTTTCATTTTCATTTCTCGGTGAAAATGGTGTAGTGAGGCTATGTGGTAGCTCTGAATCCTCTGGGAGAATGTTTTTAGATACATATTAAAACAGTTTTTACAACTATATAAATAAGCATACCTCTGAAAACTGTAAGTTAGTGTCTGCTCATTTCTGATGAGTCACTGTATGAAATAACATCATTCTTTTCCTGTCTCTGTATGTAAGTACACATGTCATTCTGGGGATGACTTCTGAGTTTGCAGTTCTGTCTGCTGTGCTAGTGATAGCACCATAGACAACATGGTCTCTCTTGAGGGTAAGAGATGAAGAATTGAGGAAGAATTTATGGTTGGACATGTTGAGCCATAGATATGTAAGGGATATAAATAAAAGTAGACATAGGGTTTGAATTGAGGATAGAGTTGGAGATGGGTGATAAATATTGACAGTAGCATCATATTGGTGGCTGGGACTGGAGGAATGTATTCAACCCACCAAGAAGAATAAGCTGAGAAGTAAAGGAAGAGCTGTTGTTTCTATTGGTTCATATCCTGTGGAGACAGGTTATATCCTAGAGGAAGAACTCCAGTAGGACTCCATCTTCCTGAAGACCATGGAAATGAATTTCTGTGTTCTTAGAAGTTCTTAGAAAAGGGTTCCAAGTGTGTGCCAGAGAAAGAAAGAGAAAGACACAGAGAGAGAGAGAAAGGCAGAGAGAAAGAGAGAGAGAGAGAGAGAGAGCTTGAAAATGTTTAATGTTAAGTAAATATGGCAAGAAAGCTGGTGTAAGTCTCAGCTGTCACAGTGCCCTCTGTTTGGACTTCAATGGAGTCTGTTGTCACTTCCAGGAGAATTAGTTGACTACAATAGGAAGGCCTGTCACTTCCAGGAGAATTAGTTGACTACAATAGGAAGGCAGTGATAAAATAGGTAGGCTTGCTTTCAGTGTGGCACAGGGGAAAACACCTGGAGAGAAAGGTGGTTTTGTGGCAGACTGAAGTGAGTGGCCTGGTGAATCATGGGAAAGTGGTACTTTTCCTAAGACTAGGAGGGCAATAGCTGTGATGAGCGAGGAGAGGCATAGCTGACCTACTATATAGGAAGACACCACTTTTCTGGTAATTTTGGGTCCCCAAGAATAAGATGATAGAATGAGAAACTGCTACCTACAATTTAATTCTAACTAGAGAAGGATGACTGGTAGATAATAGAGAAGTGACTGAATTCAGAAGTAGTAAATTACAGTTAGGATTATAAGTTTATAAGGATAAAAAGGACATAAATTTTAGAGTTAAAGGATTTTAGGAAAGTTTGAATATTCCTGTATGTCTAAGACCTAAGACAGAAAACAGGTGTGTAAGTTCTTAGAAACAGAGTTCTAGTAAGATCCCCGGTCATTCTAGTGAGGAGGCGAGGAGGCTCTCTTTGTTAAGCTGGGAAGAGACGCCCCACTAAAGATGAGATTTCCAGATGGGTTAAGCCTGACAGATGGTTAAAGGTTGTTCTAGAATGGTTAGAAATCGGAGACTGATGAACCTGAAGAATATATGGTTGTAGAAGGCCAAAGTCATTCTCACATACTTGAAAAGAGAAGTTGTCTTTAGTTCTTACACAAACTGCTCGTAAATTATGCAGGCTTGTAAGCCAGGTAAGGAACAGTACATATGTTTGAGCTCAGTAGAGCTGGGAGAACTTGGGTCCACACACCAGCAGTGAGATGAAGTGCTTCATATATTCATATAGCAATGCTCAGCGCATTGATCTGGGATGTGGGAAGCTGTTCTGTCTTGGGAAAGGCTGTTCATATCTGCCTTTAATCTCTGCTGATTCGGCTCTCGTACATGTGGCACTCTGTAAGCACTTTGTAGAGGAGCTGGCCAGTCTCAGGACTGTCACCAGTGTCAGGACTGTCACCAGTGTCAAAGCTCAAGCTCCATAGGTAGCTGAACCCTTAGACTATCACTACGCTCCATTGCTGTGGGCCTCTTCCCATGGAATAAGAGCAATAGACCATTATTATGGAGAACATCTCAGGATAGATGGGACTTAGCAGTCTTTAAATCCCACCTCAGCCCCAGATCTCAGTAGCACTGGGAAAATGTTAGCAGATACCCTTTGTTTTTCAGGACTTTGCACCCCGAGTAATTGTGATGTACGTTATCGCTCTTCTTGCTTTCCTGTTCTACATTTCCAAAGTTCCAGAACGGTACTTTCCAGGTAGGTCCCTGCTCAGCATGGTTTTGTAGCTTCCTTCTGAAAATACATTTGAAGTAAATTTAGATTGTTTCTCAGTATTGATTATAGAATGATTCTTCCATTGCTAAGCAATATCAATAACTTTTTCACCAGGCTTGGTGGCACACACCATTAGTCCCAGCACCCAGGAGGAAGAGGCAGGTGGATCTCTGTGAGTTTGAGGCCAGCTTGATCTGCAGAGTGAGTTCCAGGACAGCCAGGACTACACAGAGAAATCTTGTTTTACAAAACAACAAACAAAAGAAAACATAACTTCATAGACACTTCCTGCCACCCTCGCAGTATGATTTGGGTCCAGGGTCTGGGTTTGACACTATTGTACAGTTAGGAGTTTGTGACAGTGCTCATCACATTCCAAGGCTCATGTAGACTCCTGGTCCCTGATCAACATGAGGCACTACCTTTAGTTACCGTGCTCTTACTTACCAACTTGTTCTTAGTACTTTTCATATGCAGTGATGCAAGAGGCAAGAAACATAAGCCGCAAGGATACAAGGACAGTAAAAAGGAGACAGGTGTAGAGAAGATTTTCTGTATGTTGGGGCTTTATCTTTTATTTCAGTTGCCAGAAGGAAACCACTCCATAGTGAAAACACCACCATCAAAACTTTTATTATAGTATATTGTTACAATTGTTGTGTTTTAATCTCTTCCTGTATATGATTTGGAAATTAAACATAATTATCGGCAGTCATATAGGGAAGGAGGTATTTATAGGACTGAGTACTCTGAAGTGTTAGGCATCCTCGGAGGGCTCTTAGAATGTATCCTTAGGGGTTTGAGGAGCCTGTATGCCACACACAGTCTTCACAGTAACTCAGGGCTACCAATCTGGCTTGGCACTTGCTCACACCACTGCTAGAGTGAACACTCTCACTGCCCCCAAGGTCCTCAGGAGTCCCTCTCAGCAGGAGGAAGATGTCCCTTCTTCAGGCCAGCATTGAGGAGCTTTGGTGGAAAACACCTAGAAGTCACAGGGAATGGTGAGCAACCTTCTCCAACACAAGTCCTCTAGTGCACTGTGCAGTTAAATGGCCTGAGTTAGAAGCCACATTAGCCATTTACTGGTGGCACGTGCTCCAACGCACATCAGAGACAGAGCTGCAGTGTTCTGTCTCCTGTGGCTCCCATGAGGATGAGATGAAGATACCCCACACCCCAGAACAGCACAGTTCCAGATGGGCAGTAAGCACTCTGGGAATGATGGCACAGTCTTGGTCATGGAAGTAAAGGAGGAAGGTTAAAGGAAAGCGAAACGAAGTGCAATCAAGTATTAGCCTGACTCAAGAATAACGGTTAGAGAACTCACAACAGTGACTTCAGTTTGGAAGACTGGAGCAAGGAGCAGTTTCCATCTAGGCTGCAAATCTGTCTCCCCCCGCCCTTTCCTGGGTTAAAAATCACTTCCATGGTACTTGGTCAGGGGAGATACATGACCATACATGTAGTTTTCCCAGGCCAGAACATGTCTATTGTCTGGGTTTGCTGGTTTCTGACTTCTCAGCATGTGGGGAAAACTGGCATTCGTTGTAGGGGGTGGAGCTGTTCGCATTTTCCCCTAAGAGAAAGAACCACCTCTGTGATGAATTAGAGGCGGCATGGGACCCTCTTCCCATGCTTTGGAGAGGGAGACAGCCCAGAGGATGAGTCTGCAAGCATACCTCTGTGGACCTGGGTCTTCATCACTGATCTTTCAGTACAAATGGAATGCAGTGAGAACCGGAGTGTGTGATATCAGGACATGAGGACATAACCAGGACATAGCCCCATACTGAAAAACCACAACTTTGGTATATTTTCACTATTAATAATTCTTTTGAAGATTCTAGAGCTAGAGGTATATGTAACTCAGTGGTGGAGCACTTGCCTAGAGAGCACAAGACTCAGAGTTCAGTCCTGAGTACTGCAAACTAAATTAAAAATAATTACATTCATATATGATTCTATTTCTTTATTGCACACAAGTACAAACACTCCACACTATGGAAGGATGACCATATGGCTTTCCCTTAGCATTTTCAGTCAGCTGTTCAGAGTTCACTTGCAAAAGATTGTGTTACATACCTTTTCTCCATGGTGAGCTCAGGAGATGTAGCCCTGTAGCTGTGAGGCTGAGGGCAGGGACATCAGAGCAGAGGCGGCATGGGCACTAGGAAAGCTGAATCTTTGGAAAGGTGGTCTCTGATGTTAAGTATGTATCTTCTCCCATGTCTGAGAGAAACAAGGGCAGTGCAGACTGTGAATAGTGGGTAAGAAATTTAAAACTCTGGGGCTGGAGAGCTAGCTCAGCGGTTAAGAGCACTGGCTACTCTTCCAGGGTTCAATTCCCAGCACCCACATGACAGTTTACAACTCTCTGTAACTACTGTTCCAGGAGATCTGACAACTTCATACAGGTAAAACACCAATGTACATAAAATACAAATAAATTATAAAAAAAAAATTTAAAACTAAACGCAGCTCTAGTATACGCCTTGAATCCTAGCACTAGGATTCAGTACACACACACACACACACACACACACACACACACATATATATTAAATATATATATTGAATTCATATATATACATATATATATATTGTGTGTATGTATGATGAATCTAAAGGCTTCATTTGGAGTTGAGAAAGGCTAAGAGCCTACCCAGAAGGAATCCTGTTGACTCAGACTTTTAAGCCTGTCTTCTGAATTAAGGTTTCTAAGAAAAAGTGAGCTGAGAGGACATTTACACGACACCACCATAGCAGGACTTTAAGGAACAGCGGACAATTGTTCCGGTGCTGGTTTTTGTGACTAGAAAACATCAGGAAGCTTCCCTGTGTTGGTGACTAATTAGTCCTTCCTACCTGTGCAGAAGGGCTCTTAACAGATCCACGTCTAGCCATACACTGCTTCTGCGCTGGCAGATTCATATCTAAATCACACCCTCATCAATCCTGCCTTTCATACAGTATTTTCTGCCCGTTATACCAAATATGTTGAGATGTGGAAAACAAAATATCAAATTCATGAAATTAAATGTTCCATTAGTCTTTTTTTTCCACATTGATCATGCATGTGTGCGCTCCTGAGTGGGGGAGTGGGTACATGGCACAATGTTCCTGTAGCAGTCGGAGGATAGCTCTCAAGGGTCAGTTCCCATCGTGGGAACGCTCTCTTGTCCTGTGGATCTGAGGGACAGCAGGGTCCTTCAGGCTTGGTGGCAGGTGCCTTTACCCACTGAGCTGTTTCACTGGCCCCCACGTTACATTTTAAAAATGGTGTCTAAGGGCATATTATCCAAACACACATGATCTCTCCTAGAAATAGTAGGACATGGTATTTCTGAAATTCACTGAATTTCTGAAATTGCACATTTAAGAAGTAAAACCTGAAATGTGAGTTCCTCCTCTTAAATTATTTGAATCTGAATCTGTAGTCAGTCTAGCCAGAGGTAGAGTGTATTTTTCTCAGAAATACTCAAATAATACTGTCAGCCTTTGTTTCTACTCTCCGTTCCAGGACAGCTGAACTACCTCGGGTCAAGCCACCAGATCTGGCATGTCCTTGCAGTAGTGATGCTATACTGGTGGCATCAGTCAACGGTGTATGTCATGCAGTACAGACATAGCAAGCCTTGCCCTGACTATGTTTCACACCTGTAAATGCAGGTACGGCCACCTGGTGAATCTAATCATTAAGCAATACAAAGTGGGTTATTTTAGATTCCATTATTTCTAAGGTTCCTTTTTTTTTTGTTTTTTCCTTTTTCTTGTTTAACGAGTCATAATGCTTTATAAAAATAGAAAAATATATGTGGATCTGTAGTAAGAGCTGTGTTTGACCCTTGCAACTATGGTTTGCTCTTTGTACTGATGGTGAAAACTAGATGTGGTGAGACATCAACTTCCTGATAGTATCAGCGGATATGAAGTTACTCTAAAAACAGGGCTCATTCTACGTAAAACTAACTTCCTTTTCTTAAGAGTGGCTCCTGTCTGTTACATTGGAGGCATCCTGTATGCTCACCCTAATAGAAGACATTTTGATTAAATGAGCACATTTGTCTCTTCAGGCAAGGGTGTTACAGCCTGTGCTACTCCAAGCTAAGCAGTGCAGCTTGTGAGAAACTGGCCCTTGGATCATTCCCTTAGCCACTTTCTCCTCCCCTTAGGAACATTTGATTTTTTTAATTAATTATTTTTAATTTGCTAACAAAATTTTAATTCCTCCCCTGAGAAAGGTATTGAGAAGAGAAAATAAGCATGCATTGCTGTTTTTTAAAAAAAAAGATCATTAGATTGGAAACTATGGACAAGACTGAGCAACACATAATCAGCTACCTAATTTTATCCCAAATGTTATTTAATTCCTTATCATAATTGGATTCTTGACAGTGTATTTTGATTCCAGTTTTCCCAAAGAACTTTCACGTCTGACTCCAGCCCTAAGTTTCATGATGATGAGTTCAAAACTATATGGGTGCTACTTTGAAGGCCATGAGATCTGAGTGGCCCCGTCTTGACCTTGAAGTGAACCGTAAGCCTTAGAAGTCATGCAGATGTCTCATTTGATAGTGAGATTATTCTTTCACCGCTGCTCAAAGCCTGCTTATACTTGTACTAACATCTCATTGACAACTTAACGTGTATATAAATGCCATGTTCAATTCAGAGCTGAAGCAGTAGTCCTGTTAATAGTAGATCTTATAATCGAGTAACTTTTATTCCTTGATCTAAATGCATAAATTAAATCATTCATAGTATTCATAAAATCTTCTGTTGTTCATTGAAATATAAAGTATGACCTAAGTTTCTTAATAAGACTGACATAGTTTCAAGGAAGTGGAATTACCTAATAAATCGTAAAGTTTTTCTTGACATTGATGTTTATTCCCTCAGTGTACTTTCTCCATTCAGTATTAAGAAAATTGATATGCCTCATTTTATGCCTCTGCAGAGTGTTTCTTTCTAGTGTTGTGGTTTTGGAGTTTAAAATTTCCCATGTTGGTATGCCAGAAAAGAACTTTCTCCAGTGGGCTCAGTGAAGGCCACCATATAATAAGCACTGCTGTGATGGAGTGCTACTTTCAAAGTGGCTGTTGAACCTTAGGTCACAAACTCAATTCACATGCTAAACTTCAGATGATCTGGACATAATTTTTCAAAAAACACCCTTTATTGGTATATGTTATTTCTGAATACACATTTCATCATTTTGTCCAGAACAAATATACTAAGTTTTTAAAGTTAAAAAACGAGGAAAATCCAATAAAGTAATTTTAGGTGTGGAGCCATTTTTATTATGAACGCTTCTCCAAAAAAATCCAAGTCTTTTAAGTTTAATTTTTTTCTCTTTTTTCAGACAGGGTCCCACTCTATACCCCTGGGTGGGTCTGGAACTTGCTATGTAGACCAAGCTGGCCTTGTATTCATTGAGAGAGACCCACTTGCCTCTCCCTTCCAAATGCTGGGATTAAAGGCATGTGCTACTATGCCCAGCCCTATAAGTTTTACTTTCTTAAAATGTGCAATTTCTTTTTGTACGTGAATTCTGTAATAATTGTGTATGTATAACACATAAAAAGAGCATACTTTGACTAGGTCTGATTGTAGAGACGGTTATTCTGTGTTCTCTGAAAATGTTCAGTATTATAATTAAAACTATTGTCTTCATCTTTTATCTTTATATTGTATTTATTATAAAGGAATGAATGACTGTGGATTGTTGTCAACTATAAACACTTATGTATGTCAGCATTTATTGACTGACCATCTACTGTGTGCATAACACTACTGATAAAAATATCAATTATTCATATTAAAGAATATTTGACAACTGCTTAAACCTGAGTTTTATAATAATGTATATTTATTTTTGTTTTTATCAGTTTATTAAAATAGGTTGAAAATTATATTTCCAGCTACAGCATTTAAAAGAAAACAAAAGCAAGTCTCACTTTTACCTATGTACATACTATAAAAGCTAAGACTTTAAAAGTACATTTTAAAACTATCTCTGGCATAGAGTTGTAGTTAACGCAGTAGATAGTCTTCTTTCTCTATAAAGCCATTTTTAAACAGCAAGGCACTGGTCATCTTTGTTTTATACTGAGTGCAGTTTGGTAGCTGCCTGGCAAAGTATGCATATGTAAATAAATGGGGTTTACTAAATGTGTGATGCTTGTCATTCTTTGTTATACGTTACAGCTTTAAATCACATTTTAGTGTCCAATGATGCACCAGGGACCGTCACAGCTTATGATCCCAGTGGACAGAGTATCCACTTGAAGATTGTGCTTGATGAGTATAGAGCTGCCCATCCCTCCCTTGTTAGGCTGCCCCCTCCCCACCTGCCCCATATTAAATGCCAAGGGGCATGGCCTGCACTTGTGGGTCCCTGCCAGTTGCTGAGGAGGTCCCCATAAAACATTTGGTCTAAGTCACCTTAGCTGTGAGGGAAGGGGCAGAAGGGTCTTTGTACACATTATCACAGTTGCATTCACACTGAAAAGAACGCAGACACTATAGCACCCAGCCTGAGACTTGACTATATTTCTGTGGTGTGATGAATGATCTGGAACTGAAACTTACCCTTTAAAATTTTTTTCTGAAAGGAGAGAAATAACAGTAGGGCCCTCTGAGGAAAGTGAACTTCTTCTGTACCTTGCACAGCTTATGTGAAAAGCCACCAAGGCCCTCGTCCTGCCTGCTCTTCTAATGCAGCATGAAACTGCTGCCTGGCGTGCAGGTAATCTCAGCTCTGCCAGCCCCAGGCTCTCCTAACATCCAACAGCTTTAAAAGACTGTGCCGTCAGCATGAGTGTTAGCTGTGCGACAAGTGATGCTTGTGCCAGTTTCTCCAAACAGGAACTATTCAAAACAAACAGCTCAAATAGTACCATATGTTCCTCCTCGGAGAGATTAATCATAACCAAATCTAAACAGTGACTGCTTCCCACTGGCTACACTTCAAAACAAAAGTTCACTCATACCAAATGAAATGAACCCTGTTCAAAGTCTAAGAAACTGTCACAAGGCACCAATCCATACTCTAGATTGTGGAATACTGCATTCTAAGATAACACTGCAACTCTGTTGTCAATCTAATACACAGGCCATCTCTTTAATATGCCAAAGCCCCTTTTCTGATAGAGGCAGGAACTAAAATACTTAGATATTGCTAATGCTAACTGCTTTTTACAGCTGAAAAAAGAAGTTATAAGTGAAAACCTACGCCAGACAAGTTTGAATTAAAAAAGCACTCTAAGATCTTGTGTTCTGACCTTACAATCACTGCATGAGTGAAGGTGTGGCAACTATGCTATCAAATGTTCTTGTTGTACAAAAATGATGCCAGGTGCATTTTCTTACACCCTAAACCATGAACTATTTGGAAACAACTGAGACAGAAATGATGGTAACAATGAAAGAACTAAGTAGAAGTTTATAATGAAACTTTTAATGAGACAAATAACAATAATAATAAAAACTCCAAAGGCATTGATTATAAAGAATAAGCAATCCATTTGGAATTTATTGCATTTAAAGAAGGCAGATTATTAAAACAGTAGGTATGATAAATACAGTAAGAAAATAACTTTAAATCTCAAACAAAATAGTGAACAGAATTCAAGACTAAGCAATGTAATAAAGGCAATAAGGTAATAAAATTAGTGCTTACCTGGGTACAGGGGAAGCAACTCAATTCTATTTCATAAGTTTCCCAGCCACATTTGAGGACTTAAGTTACTTTAGCAAATATGTTTTATAACAATTAGGAAAGTAACTAAAGGTATAAATCTGTTTTTTTTTTTAAGATTAAAGTTATTAGTGGCACATAAAAGGCTTCATAAAATTCAAGTTTAACAAAAATGGAAGTGTAATCACAGAAAGTGCACTTAAAGCTGTTTGCCAGCAATCAAAAGGGAGCTTCCAGGCTGGAGGTGTAGCTCGGCACTAGAGTGCTTGTCTAGCACGTGCAAGGACCTGGGTCCAGTCCCCAGCACCACAGAAGAAAAAAACAAGTGGCTACTACTCCTTCTACTGGGCGACTTTTCATTCACAAAAAAAAAAAAAACACGCATTGTAATAAAATCAGTTCTCTTCTGAAAGTAGCACTGTGAATTTTAAAATTAAAAAAAATCTAAAACAGACCCAACCCTCTGTATTTTCATCTACTTCTTCCTTTTAGTGGCTTTTATAAACCCTCTCTAGGAGTGAATGTGCTTTAAGAAACAAAAACAATAAAAACCATGATTGCCATTTTAAAATTCACATTAATTCCCCACTAGAGAGCTGTGATGTGCATGTGCGTGTCTTTTTATCTTAGTAGAAAACACACTTAGTATAAAAGTTTTCCAACAGTCATTTACTATTATCACAGTAGACACGTCATCTCACAGTAGACTGTCAATTCAATTAACTAGACCTAAACTGATAACTAGTTTTGCTAAAAAGGAAAAAAAAAAAAAGAGGAAAAAACTGACAAAGTTCAATGCACATTTTACATACACTAAACAGATGTATCCAAAGTCCCCTAAGCCGTGATAGTAATGCACATTCAAACCTAGACCCAGCTGAGTGGCTGCCCCTCAACACCAGCACCAGAGAGTGGGCTCCACCAGCAAGATGACAACAGTAGTCCAGTAGTCAATCCTGGTTAAATGGCTGCAAGGTGCCCAGATCTGAGATCCAAGGGATTTCCTAACCATGCCCTACTAGACATTCCCAGGTTGGGAGGGGGGCACCCACTTCTTAATATTCTAGTCAGTTACTGGAAAATTTCTCCCAGCTTACAATAGACCTTTTCTCCAAATATATATATATATATATATATATATATATATATATATATATATATATATATATATATACCAACCAAGCAGCTTCTGTGTCTCGGCATCTACATTCTTCAATGCCATAAGCGATAATCTTTGAAATAGTAATGTTATTAAATAGTAAGCAAATATGGGCCACTCTTTCATAGATGATTCAGAGTTAAAAGCTTCTAAGAAACAGTTTTGGCCTCGGATCCTTTCGAGGTCTCTATATGACTTCCCTTTGATGTTCAAGTTTAACAGGTTTAGGACTACTCTGCATACTTAGAAGCACAGGACACACCCAAATGGCATTCCTTAAGCCAGAACTGGGCCATCCCAGGACAAAGCCAGCCTTTTGGTGAGTGCTATGTGCTAGAGCCTGTGCTTGGCAGCTTAATTCTCATAAGGGAATTAAGTCTCTAAGGCTCAGATGTCCGGAGACTAAAAGAGTGAAGTGGAAGTCTCCACATGTTAAGAAAACACCTCTAACATCAACACAAAGGAACTGGCCTACTGGATCTCCAGATAAATACTCCACCCATCCAATGAGCTGGTCTCCAAAGAGGAATGTCATCTGGCTGGGCTATAGTAGACATGTAAACATTTTAAGCTGTGGTAGAGTGGTTTCCTAAGAATTTATCCAGCATAAGCCAAAGAGGCTATGTCAGTGAATCACTTCAAATTCCTCAGTGCATTGAAAGTCAACTAAAACTACAATTTCATATTCACATCTCAGGAGATCACCAGTTCACAGACTGCCTTCTCAGTGAGTTAGTTCCTCTGTAGATACAAACCTAGTGTGCAGGTGTTGAGTATAGCATGTGTAATTAACTCTTCACTTTTAAAGGAAAGCATCGCTGAATCTGTGTTGTAGTTTGAAGGATCTACTACCATCTGTATTACCGATTGTTAATCAACCTGAGAACGACAAAAAGGTGCAGACACAGTCTCTGCCCGTGGCACAAGGTTCGAGGTGGTGACGTAATGCTGGGCGGCTGCCTGTTCACTTTTCACCTGACTGAGCTCACAGAAGAGAAGCAATAAAAATGACTGTGGCTTAGCTGGATATTCTGCTTCTTTCCAAGTTCCAAACTGTGAAAGTAGGCAAATAATTTATCCTATCAGGGTACTAAAATTAAGAGGTTTTAATAAGATTATTCATAAAAACCACTAATTGGAGACAAAGAGTTAATTTAAAGTATAGCTAAAGTTCCAACCCCTTTTTGTAAATAACTATTAATCTAGAAACTTCTAATGCTAATAGGGTTAAAGACAATTATAACTGAAGACAGAGACACATTAAGCACAGACAGTGTGTTCACATTAACTGATGTATAGCTTGCTACCATTAAACACGACTCCTACAAAACTTCAAGTTTCTAAATATGACTGGTGGTATTTTTTAAAAGGCAATTTGGTAGCTTGGTTCTTTTCACTAATGATGCAATCAGCTAGCAGAATTCAAGTCCCTAGTCCCATGATCTCATTCTTACATCACCAACAGTCTGGCTGTCGGTGCAGAGGGACTGGCATCAGGAGGCATGTGTCCCTGTAAGGCTGGTCAGTGTCACTAATGGAAACTGCCCCCCCCCTCTAAACCTGAGGGAAGGGACTGCTCATGACTCAGGAGTGTTGGATAAGGGTGGTGATGTAATAAAGTACAATAGTAAATGCAACATGATTTTACATTGTAAACATCTTAAAAATTGTAAGTTCCAGCTAGTTTTTCCTGAAGTTAAATTTCTATATGACCTCTGTCCTCCCACTTTTTATCAATATGCTTGCTTCATTAGGGACATGATGATAAAGATTTTGGCAAAAAATCCATTCAGAAACAACATATTCCTAAAGTACCAAATGTTGCTTTTCTGTCGACGTATAATTGTTTTACATTTTTCAAATGCCAGATATTTCTCTTTACATTTTTGTTCTAGGCTTCTATTAAGCATTCCATATTTTAAAAATCTGACAGATTAAAAATTGCATATATATTATCATATACATGATTTGATGTATATACCATAGAAGGGCTAAATTAATACATACATTATTTCATATAGTTTTCATTATAGAGTCCATTATTAATGGCACTTGTTTTTTTTTTAAATGCAACTGAGTTTTAGGCACAATAGTCAGTTACTTCTGGCTCTACGTTACAGGCAAGTGTATGAACTGAACAGCACATTCCAGGTCTCCTGGGTTTCCTCCTGGGTGCAAACATTCAGTCAGCCTGGCTTCATTTGCTGGACCTGGGGTGTGCACCTATGTGACATGATCCTAAGTGATAGGCTTTCCTGTCCCTCAGTGGCAACACACCTACGTTCCCAGGAAGCCCCACAGTTGTACAAAAGCCCTCAGAGCTTTCCACTTAGGACACCTCCTGCTTGAAGAAGGCATGTCCTCACTACCCTGTACAGACATTTGCATTTGGTTTTAAAAAATCACCTATAGTCATTAACCTGTAAGAGTGAAGGACATAAACAACTATACAAATAAATTTTCTTCCAGATTCATAAAACTATTCATACTTTTTTGAAACAGGAGTTATTGCCGAGTCCACCTGGAATATCTACTGTTTAGAAGGAAACGGAGCAGCACCAAATGGGTCTAATTCAACTGGTTGGGGCTGTTGAGACTCACGTGGTGCGACAAGTTCTGTAAAGGGTACGGCACCGAAGTCATCCATTCTCAACGCATCTGCACTATGGAATGACCCGTGCACTGAGTTCTGTCTTGGCCTCCCAGGCAAGATGGTATTGTGATCAACACGAATGTCGCTTAGGCCCTGATGGGATTGGTGCCACGACAAGTCTGAAGGGTGGAAAGGCTTGGCACCAAAGGGGTCCAGCAAGGTCTCCTCAGGCTGAAGGGCACTGCCCCTGTCTTTGCCATCGGTCAGTGCAACGCTGATGTTCTCCTTCGAGTCGGAAATGGTTAAAAACTCACTGCTGCTCTGCGAGTCTCTGCGGCCCACCTTCTTGTGTCTACGGGTCCTCTCCGGGGTGCGGTAGGGAGGCTTCAGGGGCTTCTTGGTGCTGGTGGGTGTGCCATGGTGGCGTTTTCCGTTGCTTTTGGACACGTCCTGCTTTGTGCGCCTCTGGCGAGAAGTCAGTTTCTGCAAGCTGCGCTGTTTGACTTTCTGCTGCTGACTCCCAGTTATTTCCTCGAAGGGCACGAGCCCAAAGACATCCTCCCTGCTCTCACTTCTACTCACTGACGTGGGAAACGGCTGAAAGGGAGTGGAACCAAACATATCTACACTTTTGGGCCGTGCAGGCAGCGGGCACGTGTCGGGCCCCGCTGCAGGCCAGTCTTGTACATTTACCTTCTTGTTGAAGGGTGCCTTGGAGAACACGTCAAAGTCCTCCTGCTCTGGAAATGGCTGCTGGGAGAGGTTCCTCCCGTTGCCCCTGTGCTGCTGCTGTGGAGCGCTCACCGCGAAGAAGGGAACAGCACCGAACACATCAAACTCCTGTCCAGGAGTCGGCGCAGCAGTTGGTGAACCGGCTGCGGAGAGGAGTGCCGGGTCAGGGGCTGGCCTCCGCCCCGCACCAGGCTCGCACTTGGCTTTAGCCTGTTCATACTCCGAGTCAGAGCTGTGTTTGTCCTCCTCTTCCTCATCTTCAGAGTCCATGAGCAGAGGCCTGTGACCCAGGTTCTCCGGCTCGGTGTCGTCATCATTAAAGTCCCCGTGCTCTCCCTGGGCGTCCTCATCTTCTTGTTCTTCTTCACTACTCTTAGGAGAAGGGGGGTCCGATTCAAAATCGCTTTCAGACTCGTCATGCCCCTTCTGCGCCTGACCGCGGACCGCGGGGTTCTCTGAGGTTCTCTTTACAGCCCGCTCGTCTTTACATAGTAGACTTGCGCTGCTATTTTTGGTATGGTTTGCAGTGACATTTTTTTGATTTGGAGAACGTTCAGTTTTCTTTTCAGGAGAACCTAAAGGTTCAAAGAAAAGTCATTACGGATTTCAGAGTTTCAATGTCCACTGGTACTAAGCATGTGACAACTACAGATCTCTCCAGTTCCCCTCCTGAGGAGAGCTGTTCCTTCTCTGACCTTGTCTTGGGTAGGTGGTTAGGCCCTGGAATGCAGGCAATGTGACATATGCTCATTTCCATAGGCTTGGCGTAGCCCCCCACTACAAAGAAACTGCATTCACAGCACCTGTTCGACAACAGGACCCTCAACAGGACAAGGACATTAACAATCTTTTCTACTGCCAAACCCTGTGACCCACTCTCCAGACACGGTTTCTCCTTACTGTACATATACAGTCTCTGCCTACCCACATGTCAGCATGCTGTTCTGTGTTACATCAGCACTCTGCTCTCTAAAATCAGGTATTTTATGTTGGTACCCATGTGTCTCACACAGACTGATCAGAGCTGAGAACCAACCCTGATCTGATCTGGCACAGCCACTATCAAAGACACTTAATGAGACTGTACCAAAGCTTCGTGCCTTCCAAGGCAGGCATATCTTTAACTAAGAAACCTTAGTTTATCTGAGAATAAGCTACTGGTCCTCAATTTGTACTGATCCAATTACACATACTTATCTCTCCCTCTCCTTATGACTAAGGGGTTTTTCCAACTACTGCGGACTGGAAATATACTATGTAGTCATAAAAACTAATTAGCTTCCGGTGGAGGAACTACTGCTTTCCATTATGCACACAGTGGCCTCTGGTCTCAGTTATTTCTTCTCTCCAAAGTCCACACTGTCTGTCACGTCTACAACCCTGTAGACCTCTTTCTTCCACTAACACCTTAAACACCTTAACTCCGTACGTCCCCAGAGTTCTACCTCAGCTGTTTCTCCCTCCATATTCTCTCAAGTTCTTAACTGTACAGTGACTGCCTTCTACACCAGTAGTTCTGGTTGACATTAGTCTTCTTAACTCAAATCTTAATCCTAAATTCCAGTCTGACATCTCTAGTACTTAGCTCCCGAGCCTATGCATCCTACCAGTATTTGAAAGGCGGGAATTTCAAGACACCGCCTCCCCTTTAGGATGTATTCATCTCCAGTTGCTTCTAAATTAACTGCACATCCACTTACACAGGCCCCTGGCCAGCAGACACCCAGGCCATCTCTGTAACCGGCTTTAGTTTCTTGGATCTACACCATCCTCTCTGGCGTATTCATTCCTGTATGAGCCCTCCAGGAGCCACTGGGCTTCCCAGTGTGCCTCCCCTCCTCAGTGCACACCTTCACCTCTCCCCACTATGTGGCCAGCACTCACAGGACTCGAGTGGCTCTGAAAACGTTCTGCTGTGCGCGTGCTCTGTCCTGCCATGTCTTTAGCTACAAACACCAAAGTCTTCTGTGATACTCTGTATTATACCCGCAGCCGGTCTCTAGTTCCTATGAAAACTCAGGAACTGAGAGCCACCCAGTTCCTGAAAACTTGGCATCAGGGTCAGGAACACAGCAGACTTGAGGAAGTCCAGAGAGCTTTGCTGTCTCAGCATCTCTCCTGCTCTGTAATACTGCACCTCAGTATGAAAGCCCTTCTACCTCCCCCACAAGCCACCTGATAGACTTGTGAACATAGCTGCACGAAAAGACCCACTCCATGTGACAGCCCTTCAAAACTACCCCTGACAGGTGCCCTCCACACTTGGTGCTTCTGAGGGACTCTTACAGCCCTTCATAGCAACCCAATCATTACTTGTCACATCTCACTGATTAACCTCTGTTTCCTAGCACTGTACACAACGGTTACTAAAATGACTGATAAGGTCAGCAACAATTATCTATATAAAGAAAAATGATGGAAATCAGTCACCATCTGGAGGCATTTTTAGCTCAGAATCAGTCACTTGCATTTTCTTATTACATTTAACAGCAAAGCACTTTACTATGTGCTATACACCTTTATGATGCATTAGCAAAAACTGCTGTCTGTTTTCAGGAGTTTGCACTTGTATTGTCAGTCCTCAAATTTTTCAGTATGTGCTCTAAAATCATAGTAGAGAGAATGTCTGCATAAACCTGCCACTGGCAGTCAGCAAAGGCCTCCCTAAGGAGAAAAAAGGACTGAAGCACGAAAGAGAGCCAACCAGGTGGAAGACAAGCTGCTAGCTGCTCCAGATAAAAAGCACTGGTACCATGAGGCTGTGAAAATGGGAATGTGTGACTAAATCATAGCGGGAAAGGAAGGCATGTGCTTTGTAAACTCAGTACTGGGGAGACAAAAGGCAGGTCCCTGGTACTCACTGGTTACAGGACAGTGAGAAACCGTGTCAAAAAGAAAGACAGAGGACAGAGAAACGGATGGAAAGACAACAGAAGAAAGGAAGAGGGTAGGTAGGACCAAGGGGGTAGTTCAGTGGGTAAGAGTACTTGCCACTAAGGAATGACAACCTGAGTTCAGCCCTGGGATCCCCAAGTTGGCCTCCACAGGGGGGCCATGACAAGTGTGTGCATACAAGCTCTTCAGATAACTAACTGTGGTGACATGTTAAAGTAGATGGGGCTTGAGAAATGGCACTCATGTTGTTCTCAGCCTCCACGTCGGGTGGAAGAATGAGACTTGAAAGAGAACGTGAGCTAGACGATGCTACTATTTACATGGAAAGAATGACTTGGAAGATATTCAAAGCATGGTTTGGAACCTCTGGGGTGCTTGTGAGGAAGCTGCGAAGACACAGGTTGTAATATGAATTTTAGTTTTGGCTGAAGGAAACAGACATGGAAGCTACTACTGTGTGGTACAGGGTGATGACAGAAAAAACTACAGGGTCACCACCTGACAGTGTGCAGAAGAAAAAGTTCCAAACAAGCCCGAGGGCACAAAACCAAACGTCAACCAAGAAAAAGCAGCTGCAGCCAAGGCAAGGTGAAAAGTAGCAGCCACACAGGAGCAGAAGCAGGTGAGTGGAATGCATGGACAAAGAGTGTGCTTCCAGGGCAGTGACAGCAGCTGAGCCCGTGGCATGGCTCTAAGAAGAGGGACGAAGACAGCCCTCAGGGTCTAGTCATCTTTCAGTTTGTTGATGAGGCAAAGAGTGACGGGTAGGGGGCAATGCAGAAAGCCACACTAGGTAATACTTCAAGACAGACACTGTCTTCTGCCTAGTCCTTAAAACTGGCAAAGGGCTGCCAATGTTGTCTGTTACCCTAACAACCAGGACCAGTCAGAGGCAGATGCTCACGTTGACTGTGCTCCCCATGAAGCATTTCTTTGATATTAAAAAAACAAAAGTGACTTTTATAGAGTAATGGTGAGATTTCCACGGATTTTTAGTAAAAACAAAATGCAGAGTCCCATTGGATTCTGACTCAACCCTCACTCAACGTTTTCTCAAATAAGACACCTAGGCCGCTCACAGGCAGCCATGATGTAGCTCATGCACTGCTCAGAATGAAACAGTGGTCTCAGGCAACCAAACCCATGGAAGAATGAATGTACCTGACATTCTGCCTTCATTTTTCCTCACCTGCAGTATGCTACACAACAGAATCTACTTTATGAAACCTATATACCCCAGATTTGCTGCTCTCTGCTTTCATGTACTTGTAACATGTCAACCTATATAAACAATTAGGAAACAAGTACTTGGATAAATCCACTTCCCAGCTCTTCTAGGAAACTCTCCAGCTCCAGGGAACTTAAGTTTATCCCCGGATGTCAGACACTGTTGGTAACCCCCCCCCCTTAAGATTTATTTTATATTGCATGTGTATGGGTGTTTTGGGTGTTCTGGCTATATGTTATATTTGTGCACCACATGTATATAGTCCTCAAGGAGGCTAGAAAAGGGCACCAGATTCCCCAGGTGGTTGTGAGACTCCATGTGGGTGATGGGGAATTGAACTCAGGTCTTTTGGAAAAGCAGCCAGTATTGTTAACCACTGAGCCATCTCTCCAGTTCCCTTTCTTAACAAAGCAAAAGAAGTAAAACCTGTTACCATCCTATTTTATTCAGGGGGTTAGAGTAGAACAGCTGTCATCCTGGCAGGATAGTTTTCTTAGCTCTTTGTTAATTATACATGGGGGAAAAATTATAATAAATGGCTAACGTGAAAGTGAAAGCTAGAAGTCCTTTTTCCCTTTTGTTCCCACAAGGAAAATGCATGAACCATGTTCTTCTGATGTACATGTGGGAAAACTAGGAACAGCTGAGGTGTTGTAATGATAGTTTGGATGTACATTCTTCCCCAGGAAACCACTTGAAAAGAGGCTTGGAAACAGTTGAGTAAAACAAGGGGAAAAAAAAAAAAAAAAGCAACAACAAATTTAAATCCCGTTTCAAAAGTAGCTCTGCACAGCTCTTTCCACTGAAGGTGTTTCTGTTGATTTGGTGTTGTCAGCTGAGGAAGGAGTGTCAGAAGGAAGAGGGGAAAGCAGCTGTACCCACTACACAGTCCGCAGGCACTGGGGAATACACAGTCATCTTAGTACAGAGTGGATTTGGGAAGCCAGAGTACTGGAAAGGAGCACTGGACAGCACCCTCCATATGGAGTATCAGCTGTGGTAAGAGTTGAGAGACAGATGAACTCTTTGTCATCGTCTGCAACAAGGAGCAAGTTAAATTACTTCACCCACCATACTCAATTACCTTCTAGTAACTTTTGTAGGCCAAATGAGAGGGAACGTATGAGACAGCAAGAAGTAAAGAAGCAATTCTTGGATAATTAAAAAAACAAAACACACAGGTCTACCAGAGAACTGATCAAAAATAAAAAGCAAACATATCTATATACCCATTCTGGAAACTACAACTCATCATTAAATATCTGTACGTGGGAGACAGCGTAAAAAAAAAGGGAAAGAAATGCTTTCAAAATGAATAGAAAGGCACACCCCCACATATGCCAACACTGGAAATGGCTTGCAACAACAGAAAAGTATTTGTCAAAATCCCTTTCCATCCTGGCATCCTTTAAATGGCTCCCCCACCCACCCCACATCCCCCCCACCACTACC